ATCAAGGCCTCAACAAGGTAACAAAGAAGAATCGTTACCCGTTACCCTTGATTTCTGGTCTCTTAGAACAACTTGGACATGCAAGGATAAGCTAGAATGGGGACCTCTAGTAGAGAAGGCGTTTCAAAACCTGAAGACCGCATTTACTACGGCTCCAATCTTGATACATCCAGACTTTACAAAGGCCTTTTATTTAGAAACTGATGCTTCGGATTTTGCTTTGAGAGATGTACTTTCACAAATGGGAGAAGACAAGAAACTCCATCTGGTTGCATTCTATTCTCGAAAGTTCTCTGCTGCTGAAATCAATTATGAGATCCACGATAAGGAACTTCTTGCTATAGTGGATTCTTTCCAAGAATGGCGTCACTTTCTTGAAAGAGCTGCATATCTAGTGACCGTATACACAGATCACAAGAATTTGGAGTATTTCATGTCGACTCGAGTTCTAAATCGATGTCAAGCTCGATGGAGTATGTTGCTATCTAGGTTCGATTTTATTATCACTTATCAACCTGGAAAGCAGCAAGGACTATCTGATACCTTATCGAGGAGATCGTATCTTGTACCAAAGGCTGGAGAAGCAGCGTTTGATCAACAATGTACGACATTGTTGAAGCCAAAGCAATTTCAGCTTTGCGCTACTATTATGCCAATTGATGCTGACTTCGTGAATCAAGTACGTGCCGTAACCATTGAAGATTCAGTAGCCATTGATATTAAGCAGCGTACCAATGACGACAAGTTCAAGGTGGAGGGAGATCTTTTATACTTTGAAGAGCGGTTATATATCCCAAAAGGACCAGCACGACTCCAAGTTCTTCAATCTCGCCACGATTTTCTAGCTGAGGGACATTTTGGATTCAACAAGACCTTGGAGCTTATTTCTCGAGATTTTTAGTGGCCCCAAATGTAGAAGGATGTGAAAGATTTTGTCCTCTCCTGCGACATCTGTTCAAGATCCAAGAATCCTCGACATCGCCCTTATGGACTCCTATAGCCATTGCCGATTCCACGTCGACCATGGTCGTCAATTTCCATGGACTTCATCATGGACCTGCCATCATCGAACTCAGTTGACAACATCTTTGTCGTGGTAGATCGGCTTACAAAAATGGCACACTTTGTCCCTTGTAAGAAGACATCGTCCAGTGAAGTCACAGCAAGGCTCTTTCTCGATAATGTGTATCGATATCATGGACTACCAGATGATATTGTATCAGATCGAGGAACCTAGTTCGTATCGAAGTTTTGGAGATCTCTCTTTGAGATACTAAAGGTGGATATCAAGCTTTTTTTGGCTTTTCATCCTCAAACTGACGGTCAAACGGAACGGGTGAACTAAGTCTTGGAACAATACTTACAATACAGCATCAACTATCAGCAAGACGATTGGACCACATATCTGCCGCTAGCCGAGTTTGCATATAACAACACCCTCCATGCGTCGACTCAATACACACCATTCTTTTCCAACTATGGATATCATCCAAAGCTTGATTTATTGAGTCCATCAACAAATAACAATCCAGCAGCTGAAGGATTTGCAAAACAACTATCAGAGCTTCAAAATATGTTGAAGCTTCAATTACAATCCGCTCAAGAATCCTACAAGGCATCTGCAGATAGATTTTGGAATCAAGCACCTACTTTCAAAATTGGAGATAAAGCATGGCTTCTTCGACGGAATATCAAGACCAAGCGACCATGTGATACGTTGGACTATCGAAGATCGGGACCATTTATCATCCAAAAGTAAATCAATCCAGTGGCATACCGTATGGAATTACCGGCTTCTATGAAGTACATCCAATCTTTCATGTTTCTTTGTTGGAGCCTTATCGAGAGTCATCTTTTCTTGGAAGAGTGCAATGTCCGCCACCTAATATTGAGATCGAGAACCACGAGGAATACGAGGTTGAAAAGGTGCTGGATTCTCGACAAAGATGGGGCAAGTTGGAGTATCTTGTTCATTGGTGCGGCTACGACATTAATGAGTGAACGTGGGAGCCAGCTGAAAATCTCACCAATGCACCGCAAAAGGTACAGGAGTTTCATCAACAACATCCTCATAAACCTAAGCCGGTTCGACAATAGCTTCTTTCTGAAGCTTGCTCACCCAAGAATATAAGAAAGGAAGAGAGCACCACCAAAATTCGTAGTTGATGTAGTTATTTTCTCTAAGATAAAATAGAATTTTTTCAGTAGCCATAGTTGGGTCTTCTGATATGGATAGCCAAGAGATAGATACTATGCTAGTTAGATTATCTCAACCAACTAGTTCACGAAGGCGACCCCGAGATGAAGAACCACCTGCACCATGACGACAATAGAGGATAACAAGTAACCGATCACTGTTGATTGTATTTGAGTCCGAGCCTGCTTACGATGGTCAACCAGAAGGCATATTTGCAGGACAATTTCACAATGAAGATACGGAAGTTCATGCTTGGTCAGAAGTTGAAGGAGTGGGCCACTACCATTGGCTTCAAGGGCCGATGAACCACTTACCTCGTGAACAACAGTTGGAGTTCATAGCAGACGTTATGCGACAAATCTTCATTTTCTTGCGTTGGTACTGATTGACAACAACATTGCTTCTCAGAGACCTCGAAGCTAAAGGAGGGGGTGATGTTAGGGACATAGTCTTTAGAACCTTCTAGAGACAAGTTTCTAGAACCTTCTAGAGACAAGCTTCTAGAACCTTCTAGAGATAAGCTTCTAGAACCTTCTAGAGACAAGCTTCTAGAACCTTCTAGAGACAAGCTTCTAGAACCTTCTAGAAGCAAGTCTCTGGAACCTTTTAGAAGCTTCTTAGTTGGTAGAAGATGTTAGGGACATAGTCCTTAGAACCTTCTAGAGATAAGTTTCCAGAACCTTCTAGAAGCAAGTCTCTGGAACCTTCTAGAAGCTTCCTAGTTGGTAGAAGTTGCTTGAGAAGCTTCCTAAATATGAGTATATATTGGAATCGAGATTGAAGAGTTTTTCAGTCTCGACAACACATCTCTTGGAGCTCTAGCTCACCTCTCTGGTGTTGTTCTTGTATTCATCTGATTAATCTAGTTCTTGCCAGTTCTTCTTGAACTTCTTGGTAGATATCAAGTCTGTATTCTGTGTCCGTGACACTTGCTTCCAACCATTATAGCAAAATTATAGTTTTTAACTAATATATAAAAATTAACCAAAAATATAATTATTTGGTTGCAACAAAGTCATAATCAATATGAAATAAGACATATGAATGTTATTTATTAGTTATCTTAATTATAAAGATTAATTTTTATAAGTCTATTTTAATCAATTTTTCATAGAATAAAAATTCAAATCAACAATATTATAAACGGAAGTTTCACATCTTTTATTTTTAATTTATTTTTACAAATCGGTTTTTTATAAATAAGAATTGTTAGATCCAAACATTCTTAGAAACTAAACTTACATTTAGTCTAGAATTTATAATCAAATAAGATTAAACAACTTTAATACATGTTTTAGTTATTAAAACTTTACTTGGTCTTTTTTTTCCTATTAAAAGAAATTTTAGAATAACATTGTATTATAAAAACAAATTAAAATAAAATAATTTTTTCTAACATGTCATTGGATTTATATTATATATACATAATTTATTTTTCATAGTCAAAATAAAATAAAATAAAATAAAATATTGATTATAGATTTAAATTACTAGCTTAAGTTACTTAACAAATTGATTATAAATCTAAATTACTAATGTAATTCAAATTTTAAATTAAATAAATAAATTAGCTAGTAAATAAATGTAGAAAATTATAGACATCATGTAAAAAGTTATTACCATAATGCATATTTTTGCTTGGAAGAAAATTTCAATTCCATTTTCATATCTTTTAGAAGAAAATAACCATTACATTGAAACTAACTTAATACAGAGATTTTACTTTCTGAAGATTTGGCTGGTATTTTTTAAATTATTTTCTACAGCATAAGTCAAACATTCTTTATACCTTGGTAATTTATTATAAACATTGTATTTATAATTCTACTTGTGCTGAAGTAAATCAAAACTTAAAATTGAAGATAGAATTTGGAAGTAATCCTCCGCTTCATATTTGTCTAGGAAAATCTCTATATAGAGGGATCTACAACATCTTCTTTGTTGTTTTTCTCTAATTGCAATAAAGTATGTTCTAATCAAAAATTGTCATAAAGTATGTTTTAAACAACAAAGAGGTTTGCTAATACAATTTTTTATTACAACATCAATTATAGTCTAAGGTATTTAATTGATTTTTTTTTTAAAAAAAATTAAGACTATGTGTTAAACCATATTTTATTTATGCTATTGCATTAAATTGCATAAAACTTCGTTTAAAAAAATTGAATTCTCTTAGCCTGCCAAAAACAAAATAAGTTTTAATAGCATAATTACTATATTAATTTATAATCATAGAGCTTATTTTGAAATCGGCTTGGTTAGATTTTTAAATTTTGGATAAATACATCATGTAATAAATATGAGTATAGTTCTGTACATCAAAAAATATTTTTAACAAAGAATAAAAAAAACAAAACAAAAACAAAAAAAACAAAAAAAACACTTCTTGAATAGTATTTCAATCTTCTTATGTTTGGTTTTTCTGAATATATATATATATATATATATATATGCATTAATAGACACACACACATCAAAATGCATGTATGATTTTGCTCATCATTCCTCACATCATTTCTTTAAGTAATATCACCAGATGTGTGTAAGTCAATTCCCAACACTTACGATTTGTTTAAAGTATCCCGCATGGTACAATCCGAGCTGCCCGAAAAAAATACGGCAATTAAAAGCAAATGAACCACGGTACAATCGCATACGCATACACATTCGTATATTCAGTAAAGTTGGATACCAAGGTATTATAAATACCACAGTGCATACACGTATAACATAAATATACACACACACACACATATATATATATATATATATACGCCGTCGTCTTCTTCTCGCGACTCGTGTTCTGGGACTGCCCACAGCGACACTGTGCTGTACTGCCATCACTCCTCCCTTGAATCAGCCGCTGCTGGTCGCAGCAGTATAATAACACGCTGCTCTCGCCTCCTTCCCCTCATGGGCATGGAGCTCAACCTTAGTACTATTCCCACCCTCTCTCTACCTGGCTTGCCCAGGCCTTGTTAACTTATCATTCTCGGATGATTGACGTTTTCAGGTTGCAGGAGTTCGAGAGGGCTCGCCGCCGCAGCAGCAGCTTCATCCATGTTGCTGAGCCAGGACTACCCTCTTGAGGATGGATTTTGGGGCTGGAAGTTATAGGTTTGGGTCGTTGCCGTTGTGGGCTCATAATTGCGAGCTTTTCCTGGTCGAAGGGCAGGTCATTACTACTGGTTGGAGTGTTTGATCAGTGCGTCTGCGGCGTTGCTTTTTTGAGCTGATTTTCGGTTTCTCTGCTGCACTGGACTGAGTTGAGACAATTGTTTGCGATGCACTCAGCTCCACTTCTCGTTGTCTTTCAGTGTGAAGCTCTGCTATCATCTCCGGGAGCGTTTGCGACTTCCGTTGGTTAGATTAGAACATGGTGTCTTGGTTTGGGTCTTAGGTCGGACAACTCACGAGGTATCGATTTCGTCTCCTGCTTCTCAGTACCTGCATACCTGTCGAAATTAGCTCGTGATTGTCGAGCAGGTCGCTAGAACAATGGCGAAGCAGTCATCAACTCTGCTCAAATTGCACATCGGAAGTGGTGTGTTTTCTCTCGTTACCAGACTGGTTGCCTCTTCAGCTCTGCCTACCATAGCTCAGCATTTTCGTCTTTTACGCTGCACTGGGTCGAAGCCCTCAATTCGAGTCTTATACCTTTGAATTTACTAGATGATACCTTCTTCAATTAATGCTAGACTGCTCAACTCGTTTCCCGAAAGCGGAGGAGTTTCGGCAACGATTCAAGTTTAAGATATATCTCAGAGCACTCTTGCTGTTGAAATAATCGAAAAGAAAACGGAACATTCTGCTTTTGAGCTCGCCCCATGAGTTTGATGAAGAGGGACGTGAAGATGCTCATATCACTGAAAACAGTTGTTGGGACTGACGAGGCATCTGCAGTTTTGTTGCAAGATTTACTCCAGGGGGAAGCTCTCTTGCCTATCCTGGACTATCATGCCCTAATGACGTACCAGTGCCAGCAAGTCGGCGGATTCCGTGATGCTTGTGATGCAGCCTGCAAGACTGCTTGTCGGTTTGAAGAAACCTGCCCCTTGATTAGCGATTCGTGCGACTTGGGGAGCTCCTTTCTGTCCAAAATTAGAGACTCAAATCCTTCATATTCCCTTCAACAACGAAATCCTTTTTGTTCTGAAGATATCGCTATGCCTGATGCTTTGAGAATTGACCCAACACCAGAACGCAAGGTAGGGCACGACACTCTGGAGGCCGTGTCAGTGCTACAAGAGACGGAGGCAAATTCCCGCTCAGGTTTAGGGTTCTTCACACATTCATACTCACTGCTGGACCTTTTAGAGAACCTTGCTACGTGCTCAGAGATGATGTCTTCCGCAATTTTCAAGGTACCAGAGACACTGTTGGAAATGCAAACGTATGATTTGGCAGTCCCCTTGTTACACCATGATGTGGCAAATTGCTGCACCATGAACACTTGAGTTGCAGTTTTCTCAATTACTGTGTGTGGTTTTGGACTAGCCACTGCATTGTGTTTAGATTTAAGCTGACAATGAGATGATTTACGTTTGGCAGCTAATCCAGGCGCTGCGGCTTCAAGGATTGATCGAGGCCAGGGCCATAATCCTACCTGGGCCGCCTCCTCGACACTTTGAACACCTCCAGCTCCGCAAACTGCTCTTGCTTTGAAATTTAGAGTACCCGAGAGTGGTGCGTGTATTGCACAGATTTTACGGGACCCACCTAGGTTTCCCAACGATTCCCTCGTATCCTCTTCCCCCGCGTTAATAAACCCCTTACCATACAACCTAGACTAGGCTACATGTATTCACAATAGTTTCTGTGTTAATTTCAGTCATAGTGAACATTGCTGCAGTGTCGCGAGCGTCTTTCGTGTCTTGGTTTCCATGCAGCATTTGTTATTCTAGCTCTATCTGCGCAATTAGTTGCGACACTTGCACCTTTCTCGGATGCAAGTGTTTTTGATGTCACAATCCTAGCGGGAATTGACAGACATGTCAAAATCTTGTTCTGGATTTAAGTGCATCATAATTTTTGTATTAAGTTTTGAGTTGAATGTGCATGTGTGACAATTTCATAGCGTCTTTGGTTCTATGCAAGACACAATGGCTCTGCGATCTGGAAATTAACACAAGAAATCTTACGCCCCGTCTGACCATATCAACACCCTGTCTGGTTGGAAGTTACTGGAACAATCTAGTTGGACAGTATATGCATATTATAGCTGCTGCATCCACACATGAACATCGGACTGGGATCTTCGAGCGATTTATGATTTATTTCGTGATCTTTCCAACAGCACATATTGATTGCAAATCAACTTAAAAGCAGAAATCCTCTTTCGGATGAACCTCACACGCCAATCAAAGTAACATAATATCTTTTGTTCCACATTTGTTTCTTGTGCGTTTCTACAATTGTAAGCTGTAACAAAAAAAGTCATTCCTCGTTGTTCTATCATACTACATAAAGAGAACGCATGCAAGCAGCTGGATTTTTAGTAATGTAACACTATAGGTGGTTTTACTACAAAATTTGATAGTTGTCCATATTTCAGTGTAGAGAAGCTTACTAAAATAAAGGCATAGAAGACAACTTTCTTGCGAGGCCCTCCTGCCACCAACAACATGGAGTGCACGCAGCCGTGCCAATGAGTTCATTAAAGCCACCTTCACAAATTTCACACATTCTGACTCATCCTTTCATTACACAAACCAATGACAAATCTAAACCATCACCAACAAGAATGACTTCATTTCGAAAGCTGGACTGGTGATGGACTTAAAATTTTCTCGTCAACCACAGAGAGTTTATATTTTGAGACTCTCGTGGGTTGAAATGTTTTTGGGCGGCAACCCTCTGCAAAGCAATGTAACGGAATTGGAACTAAATCCTCACTTCCGACGCTTCGCAAACCTCGCCATACGGAGTCGGCATTGACTCTCGACGTGGCCTGCCCAAGATTACGACATCCTCATTCGATCATCTGTTCGGTAGGTCATTACCAACACGCACCGACTGAATGCAACTACTGAAACAGAACATTGGGGAGTTTATCCATCTGACGATTCGTCGAGGCACACCAAAAACGAAAAACTGGGAATGACAACTGGGAAGTCTAGGTCTAGGGTTCGCCAATGCCAGGTGACCCTACCGAAACTGGGAGGCAAACAAGAAGCCTACACAATAGTGAATGTTATATAGCTATTCAACCCGACTGTCACAGGACACAGAGCTACGGACAGTTCAAAAAATATGACCAGAAGTAGAAAAGTCTCCAATCAGTAGGGGACCCGAGGCAGCAGTAGGCTACAGTGGCGGAGCGGAAGTGACGAGGGTCGCCATTAATGTGTGTCTCTGTCGACATGGATTCATGTTATACTGGAAACCCTGAAGACGGCCGAAGTCAGAGCTGGCAGGCACTCCCCCACCAGACTTCTTTTTTTTTTTTTTTTTTTTTTTTTTTGGCTTAAGCTTCTGCTTGTGGTCTGTTGCTGTAAGTTATCGTTGGCAGCCACGGTGTTTCAGTGGTCCCATTTTAGCCCTGCCTGGAGGTGTGAACAGCGCAATTTTGTGTCCTACACCTCTGACTGAAGCATTGCAGACCTATGTATCATCCAGGGTTTAAAATAGCATAATACTTAAGTTGGATGTGGTCTTGTAAAGAAGACTTTTATTTATCTTTTTGAAACCGAGACAATTGATGGGCTTGTGAGTCTCGTTGTGAAGCACATGTACATTTCTGTATGCTCTTCATTATATGATAGTAGATTATACTCACTGATAGTAAAAGGTGGGGAGAAGTCGCTAAGATTTTTTGGGGCATGTATTTGTCTAAATATTGCAATATGCATGGTTTTGTTTTTAAAGGACATGTTTGTGAGTGTCTATGTTAAGAAAAGGTGGTGAATTTATTGGTTCCTTCCACTGCATACCTGCCCTTGAAAAGCTACAATGCAAGGGTCTCTGTGTGTGTACATTGTATTTGAGCAGATTTACACACACATCAATCTATGTATAAATAAATATTTATTTATTTATTAGTGGAATCCCATGCCATTGACCACAAAAAAAACATTGTAAACTATGTGTTGTAAATTAACCTTTTGTTTGTTTGAAGCTTCATATGATGTGAAACTTCATGTTGCATGCCATTTCACATTGTGGTGCTTCCAAGCTCCACACCTAACAATCTTGCAATGCTACTTTCGGCAATTTGTTGCAACAACATGAAAATTTTGATCTCTGATTGCTTCATTTTGTATGAAATAATGATATATGCAGCCAATCAAATGTGGTTTTTTGTCTCCTCTGGATTATCTTGTTGGTTTACCACCTGAACTATTTTGTATAAGAGATACATTGTATTTTAGCAGATTCATGCAAGCAGCAAACTTGTGAAAAAAAAATAATAATACTATATATATAGAAAAAGATTTTTTTTTATTTCATGCAGCCGTAAATACCATGATTGATGACGTTTGAAAACTTAAATATTAGTTTAGCTGATTTTGTAAAAATGTCACTAAATGTTGGTACATATAGAATGAACTAAACTAAATTAATCCACAGTTTCATGAACTTTTGGAAATATAAAACTTTATGACTACATACATCTTTTATTCAAGTACATATACTTTGAATTCATCTATGATGCACAATTACACAATCAATAAAGATCATGCTAAATATATATACATATAAACGACAGGAAAAGTTGGTATCTATAAAATGTGAAGCAATCTTATGCATCCTGGCAAACAGTGAAACCAAATCAAGATTGTGGTAGGATATTTTCAAGTTCACAGCAAGGGCACAAATATACACATTTGCATAGCTTATACAAAATTTCCTAAGCACGTGAAATTACAGATTTTTCTTAAATCTAAGAAGAAATAAATTTCTATATAAACATAAATAATGTTCAACTTGCAAATTATTAGGGTCATGTGAATCATGCCATTAACAAGTTAACTTGTAATCAAATAATGTTAATTTTGAATTAAAGCATGTAGTTTTTTGTCACAAGTATTACCATTGATTTATTTAACAATTCAATTATATTTATAATTGAAAAAAATCATTATTATTTACAATAAATATTTTTGTTTCACTTTTATTTTTTCAATTCAATGACAATGTGATTATTTAAGCAACGAATTTAGAACATTATGTTTATAAGAATTTTACTATAATATAAATATTGATCATTCAATAATCCAAACGTCTCATTCAATGGTAATTTTGATGTGTATCCTAAATAACCAATGATAAATATTTTGTTACATAATTACATACATATGCTTTTATTTTAGAATTTTTTAAATTCAAGAAAGCTTTGGAAAATGTCAATCTCTAATATCTTTGTGGGCACATATATATATATATATATATATATATATATATATTATACAATTATAGGCCAATGATTGTTTTATTTTTTTAATGCACGATTTGGATGTAAGAGATGTGTTTAGCTAATCTCGTCCAAAAAGAACAATAAATATATTTTGTATATATATTTTTTTGAAAGGAGGAAAAAGTAATGCACTTTTCTTGAGTGAGAGCGTCACCTTTTTGGGGGGTCCTAGATCTTCAACTGATCATCCGAACACTGCTTTTTGTTTATCCATCTGCACTCTTGTGTTCCAAGCGGCTTGGTCATAGGCAGCATGCGTGCGGTGATAGGTGTAGCAGAAGGTGCAACCTATCACCGCACGTTGGTATTAGCAGAAGGTGCAACCTATCACCGCACGTTGGACGGGAAGGCCCCGTGAAGGCCCAGGCTGACCGCTTCTTCCGGTATTCTGTTTTTTGGGCCGAGGATGAGGTGGAAGGTCTTTCGCTCTTTCCCTGCCAGCTGGTGTGCTCAGCTGGAGCCATGTTGCCAATGATGGTGACTGAGTCAGCAGCTCCAGACTGAGTCCTACGTGGCATCCCATTCTCACAGACTGTGTCCGAACATTTGCCCGCTTCATTAATCAATGTCCTTCGCCACCACTACAAAAAGTCCTTTTTCATGTCTTGGTTTGGACCCAGTGTGTATATCTACTGTTGTTATTTTATTTTATTATTGTTATTATTTATGTGTGTGTGTGTGTGTGAGAGAGTGAGTGAGTGAGTGAGTGAGCATATGTAATCACCATTCTATTTTTCTAATGTAGCAGTCCCAGTAATAATGAATCCCAGTAATAATATTGAGTGATTGAATCATTATTACTCAATCCCAGTAATAATATTGATTTTTAATTTATGTAACTCTTTGTTTGTTTATGACTTCTAAGCATATACCTCACATGCTAATGCATCCTTTGCTCATACCTGGTAAAATGTCAATTTGTTAGAATGGGACTGACTTTGTATGTGCTTGTTTCCAAGATATGTTATGTACATGAATGAGGATTGGATGTACATCTTGGCACAAATGACATGGAATAGTTAAAATTAGAGCCTATGATTTCTAAAAGAATTAAATTGTGCATGGAGATTTGTTAAACTGATGTTTTGATCTGTTTTGTTTTCTTAATATGATTCACTAAGAACCATAAAGAAAAATATTACAAACTATATATATATATATATATATATATATTATCCCATCCATCTACATATTAGTATTTTTAATTCATCTATTTGTTTGAAGAAACAAGTTATGTTTTGTGAATTGTATTTGGAAGTGCTTTTGGCACAGATATATGTATATATATATATATATATATATATATACATTTTATGATGCTAATGATGCACATAGTATATTGATGACTATCATATGTAAGTTAGCTTAAAACTACTGTAAGTAAGCATGAGATTTAGGCTGCAAGGTATTATAACATGAGCCTATGTTGAGAGTATAAAAGACCAAAAACCTTTGCACACATCATCCTCGACGATGAAGGATGTGCATCAGAGTTGTTCATCCACTGAAGTTGAAACACTTCCAGATATGATTGGAAATGACAAGCGAATCAAAATTGGGTTACATGATCAACACCAATTTCACTTCCTTTTTTTTTTCATCCCTAGGACAAAATTGCACTTTGTGTTGTTTGTTCGTTCTTATTTCTCTTCCTAAACAGGTGTGAATCTTTAGAGCTCCTCGATGGACAGTGCTGGACCTCATCCAAAATTCCACTAACCTCACTAAGATACTTTTTAGTTGGATGCCACCCTGGAACCACAGGACCTAAGGCGTGTTCCATTCACCATATTTTTCATCCGTCCATCACGTGGATGGAGTCTGACATCGCCTGAGCTAGGTAACTTGGATTCCTTCTCTTGCAGCCCATCCCCAGCACTCAGATAAAGAGACTTGGTCTTTGTTGCCAGCCACTTCAATCTATTAGAAAGTATAGAAAATAATGATAAGAAAAGACGATGCAAAGAAAAGAAGAGACGTTGGTTTAGACTCATCCATCGTTGTTAATCACTCATGGAGAATCAACACCAACACATGACCGGGGACAAACCCCGGTTTGGAAACCATCAAATTTAACCTCTGGCCCTAATACAGTGTGCATGCCAAAATAAAACTGAGAAAGCCTGGTTTCTTCGCTTTCCACACAAGGACATTGAGGTGAAATAGTAGGCTAAGGCTATAGCGGAGGTCGAGTGCAAACTGAGTGCTCGAGTTGGACCCCCTCCACACACAAATGCCGCATGCCAGATACCACTTCGCTTGACTATTCCTTGCTCACACTCTGTTTCTCTCCTGCTTCGTTTCCATTATTAGATGCGAAGGGCAAAGGTCTTTGTTATTCTCAGACATGGGCAGTTGCGACTGCCGTCATGTCTGCTACACACACGGTCAAAACACCCTTCCGGTTTGAACCATTCAAACCAGAATGGGACAACACAAACGCAACTCAATCACTCAATGTAGTTATGCACCTGACACCCATCAAATATTTTACATTCGTTAAGAAATTTCACTCAATTCATTGAGTTTGATAAGATTACCCCCCCCCCCAGATGATTCCATGTAATAATATTTTGCGTGGTAGATACTCCGTCTGGACAAACGATACACGAACGAACGATACACAGACGAGCGAGACACCGACGAACGCCGAGAAAACGGTGGGCAACCAGGGGTTGCCCGACGTGTGAAGTGAATGCTGGGGTTTAATTAATCCCGGGGGATAACCGTACCTCGGCTTAGAAGTTTCGGACGAGACTCTTCCCTTCCCCGGCTCACCAGTGCAAGCACAACATCAAGCTCCTCCGTCCTCTTGCGAAATGCTGTCTGGAAGTCTTTTGTTCTCCTCCGATTCGTTTCCATCGCCTGCATCGAAGTTCCTTGCGCCATAGCTTTCGCAGCAGAGGTTTCCATCCACGCTGAACTCGCGGGGTTGGACTCTCGGTTGAATTCTTGATCCGAAGAATAGATGTTTGCAGTGGCTTGGAAGAAGATCACGTGACAGGTGAGGGGCGTTTCCTATCGAGGGTTTACAGGGTGCAAGTGTCGCCGGTGCTGCGGCTCAGAGCTGTGTTAGAATTGTCCTAGATTGTCGTGAGTTGGCGCAGCACGCGGGAGATCTGGTTTCGTGCATCGAGATATTAGATTTGCGTGCGTTTGGAGGTGTTGTTCATTGTCCGTTGTGGTGCGAAAGAGAGAGAATGTGTTGTTGATGCTGGCGTGTGTTATTTTTGCGGATGCGCGGAGTTGAGAAATATGCCATTGTTACGAAAATCGAACCTTTGTTGTTGTTGTTGTTGTTGTCGTTTTGTTTTGTTTTGTTTTTTTTTTTGTTTGTTGAGAGGAGAAACTTTGTAGTTTCCGAACGCGCTTCGTTGGATCGTTTTCTCATATTTCAGATGTTTCATTTCTGGAACACGATCTTTGTCCCTTAGAAGACTGGAGGCGATCCCTTCAAATTCCCTACTGATTGGATCGTGACCTTTCAGTTCGAGAATGTGCGTGTCGCAGAGACTTTTTGGTGAAGTTTGGAATCCTCTTTTTCAAGGATTCCTTGTCAAAACCGCCCCTTCGCGACTTGAAATTGGAACCCACATGGTATAGCTCCCTCTTTTGTAGGTGATTTTTCCAGAAATTCAGGAGTTGTGATGAGCTGAATGTGATTTTGTGTTGTCCTGCTTGTTGTTTTATTACGAGCTTAGGCGTTGCCATTAATGAACACGTTAATTAACCTATTATTGACGCGATTTAAATCAAGTACCTTCTCACGAAAACACATCGTCTTGAATACGTGGAGGGTTAAATAGTTGTAGTCACAGAGCATTTCTTAGTGCCCTACTCGCTGCCAATAGATCCAATTAATATCATCCAATTATTTGAAACCAACTACCTTTGTGACTGGGTCTGTGCTTCGGTGATTTATAAACTAACCGATCAGTTTACTGCCGAATGGTAATTCTTCCATCTACTCTCGAGTTCAGCTAGGGCTGCCCTTGTGGTTTGCTCCTTGCAATTAAACAGATTGCAGCTCCTGTGTGTTGGAATCAATCCCCTTCGCTGTACACTCAGTGACTGCTCTCTTGTTGCAGTAAAAAAGTGGTTGATCGCGCATTCTGTAGTTACAAATTGAAGGTTCGAATGCACTTCCCTTTTATGTCTTATCTCTTGATTGTCCGATCACGTTGCCAACCTGCAAGTGGCGTGTCCGTCATATATCCTATATGATGGGAAAGTTGAGAAACAATCTGCGAAGTCCTATTGGGCGTGAACACTGGGAAAAAGTTGTTACGAGGAGGTTTATGTTAACGGTAATATGACGATGAGAGGACTCGTGTGGTAATCGACCTTGTGACATCAATTCCTGTGAGAGGGTTGGCAGATCAATTACTACGTTGGTAGTGGTTCAGAAATACGTCTTATAATCTTGTAATATGTACATCATCATGAGGATCGCTCAAGACTTGGTGTATTATACCGCCTGCTAAATCATCTTAGTGTCGTTAGTCTACATTTGTTGTTTTGCGATTTTGTAGTGTAGCTACGGTACTGCATCATATCAGCCTTGTAAAATTGTTGTTCACTCCAAATATTGTTCGCTACCCATCTACAACCTCAAATACAAAGAAATAAATATGAGAATGAAAGAACGAAAAAGGAAAAGGAAAGAAGGAATGAAATGTATTTGCTCGTCTTTAGCTTCTTCTATTTTTCATCTTCCAAGTTTGTTTCTGACTATAACGAAATCGTTCCTTATCTTTGTAGGTGCACATGCTGGGATCCCAAGGATTCATTACACGATTATGCATGTGAATTTGAAGGTAATACTAAGAATTAAAGGTGATTGCAAGGTGCAGCCGGATGGCTGTGTCCATGAAGAATGTCGACATTGCTTTTCAAGGAGTTGGGCAGAAACCGTATCCTACGTTTAATTCCATTCTTTTTCATGAATTCAGTTTGATTCTCACTCAGTAATATTGTCGCACAAAACTCATCTGTTAGAGTGGTTGCAAAAATAACGTGGATCTAAATTAATGAACACTGCAAAGCTTCCAGGTGCCATATATTGATTGAGTGTCAAGATTCTAGCATTTTCGTGTTACTTGTGGTATGGTTTGAAGTGTTAATCGTTTGAATTAATGTGGTCCGCACTACTATGTGATTTTCCTGTAGTGAGTTTCGCTTAAGTTGGAATGGTAACAAACCTGACATTGGTCTCCAGTTAGTTGTTTCCTTTGACTATACTCTCAGAGGAATGGAAATCTGGCGCATTGAAGATTTCAAACCAACGCCCTTACCTACGGAATCCTATGGAAAATTTTACTCCGGCGATTCTTACATTGTCCTCAGGGTAAAACTTCTTCTTCCCTTCATCTGCAGTCCTTTTGCTGAAGATGGGTTTCTTATTAGCAATGTTTATTACTAGTCTTTGTGGTTTACAGGAGCTCGATTCTGGATCTGTTCACATATTGCTGACCGGGTTATGAGACTACTTTCCTAGGTTGACCTGGTCTGATGCTTTTGTGTATCTTTGGCTCATTTCGATCTACATAATATAGTTGCAGTTGGATGGACTTGACGAATCTTATCTTTATAGTTTTTGCAACCAAGTATTGGGTGTAGTCTGCTCACTAGATGAATAAACTCGTGGATACTCCTCGTAAGAATACTTATTTCTGGAACATTTATTTGGTCCTGGAATAACCCCGAAATAATTGTTAGCAAATTTTGGTAACAGACCACAGCACTAAAGACTGGAGGTTTCCACTACGACATTCACTTTTGGCTAGGAAAGAACACAACCCAGGTACTCTGATTTCTTGGTCAAGTGTGAATTTGAGCTTCCAGTTTTTCTGATATCTTTTGGGTGGTTGAATAGTCAAAGCCAACTTCACTTTTTCTGTCATTTACCTCAAACCTGTAGTCTACTGCTCTAGCGCTAGTTGGTTAATGCATCACGGTTCTGCCCGGCAGGATGAAGCTGGCACTGCGGCAATTAAAACAGTTGAGCTGGACGCTGCTTTAGGTGGTCGCGCTGTTCAATACAGAGAAACTCAAGAACATGAAACGGATCTTTTTCTGTCTTACTTCAAACCTTGTATCATTCCTTTAGAAGGGGGTGTTGCTTCTGGATTCAACAAAGTGGAGGTTGAGAAGGTGGAGCCTCGTTTGTTCATTGTCAAAGGGAGGCGCGCAGTTCGAGTTTCACAGGTCTTAAGCAGTTCTCTGAGTTACAGATTCTACTCCAGAATTCTTCATTCCCTGCTTACTGCATCTTTTATTTTAATCTGAACGATTTGGCTATTGCCTCTTCCATGACAGGTCCCCTTCGCCCGTTCCTCTCTAAACCATAATGATGTCTTTGTTCTGGATACGGAATCAACAATCTTTCAGTTCAACGGAGCAACGTCTAGCATCCAAGAGCGGGGAAAAGCTTTAGAAGTTGTCCAATATATCAAGGATACATATCACGATGGAAAATGTGAAGTTATCATTATAGGTATGGAGGCAAACAAAGGTTTCGCTTCTCAATTTCAAAGTTAAACACAATTATGTAGTGACGATGTGAACGGGCACTTCGGTTTTGTTGAGTTGTGTTCAACGAACAGCGTAAACAAGCGTATAGTATGCATTGATGAGAATAAGACGGTGTTTAACAATATCATTCTTTCAATACCTATCGTTTTTGGGCTCGATAATTTTTTTGCGGTTTGAGTTTTTTAATTCACAGTTGTTCACGTGGGTTTCTGTTTCAATGTTACTACAGATGATGGTACGCTCGGGTCCGAGGCAGACACAGGGCAGTTTTGGGTTTTATTCGGGGGTTTCGCTCCACTTGCAAGGAAAGCTGCCGTTGCAGATGATGCTCCTAAGTTGACGAAACCTAAGCTTTTCTGGTATGTAAGCTTTTCTTTGCGGGCACTACCTCATGTTCGTTGCTTTTCATCCAGACATGAGTTTGTTAGCTCTTGCAAGAGTGTTAGTGACAAGGGGACTGGTTGTGGGCATTGAATTCTCAAAGTATCATTGAAGCCAGCTTCAAGGAAGTAGAAATCTCTAAAGACATATTGGACAGCAGCAAGTGTTATCTGCTTGATTGTGGTAATGAGCTCTACATATGGGCGGGTCGTAATACATCTCTTGATGCACGAAAGGCTGCTGTTTCAACAGTAGAGGTAAGTTCTACTGCTATTATCTGCATGACAGTCTTTTGCTCTGCTGAAATCAGGGTGTACCGTAACTTTATACGGACCACGTGATGCGTATTTTATATTCTTTTCAGTGGATTTCGAACGCAACAGTATGCTATTACTGATTTAGATTTCTCAACCGCCGCTTTAAATTTCCTCTTGCATCATCTTGTATTGTTTTATCTTAAGATGTTCGCAGAATATCTAATTATGCCAACTCTTTCCGCTATAACCTCACAAGTACATTGCCACGTTCTCTCACCCCGCATTCATTTTTTACAATTTCTGTTGCATAAAATTTGATCTCTACTACATGTGTGCAGAATTTCATCACTAATGAGAAAAGACCAAAGCACAGTCAGATTATCCGAATCATTGAGGGATTTGAAACATTAGAGTTTCGGTCACATTTTGACAACTGGCCATTACATGAACAGTATCCTATCTCTGAAGAAGGAAGGGGCAAAGTTGCAGGTAAACAATGTATTATGCGTGTGTTGTTCCTTAACCCTGCTGTCTTGGTCAGATGTACTAATTGTGTCCTCACTGCAGATCTTGACAAGTATCAATCTAAAAAGGAATGCTATGTTTGATCGGTCTTCTGCAGTCTTTAGCTCATGCAATAGTGTAAATCTTACCTCAAGAATTTTATCAATAATTATCTTGGAAATCGTATAATGTGTTCGAGCATGCAGTAAGGATGTCCAATTCCCAACTTCGTCCTGTAATCATTAGCTATGATTTCATCCAAATATGTACTTACTGACTCTATAAACTATGTTCCTTGCGATCATGGGCCGAAAAAGATGTCATGTTGGTTGTGGCCTCTTGAGAAAGGCTCAATGTGTTGTAAAGGTTGGAGCCAAGGATAATGCAGTGGCCAAAATAGGCGTTTGTCATGTTGTCATTTTGAAAACTCGTCTTTATCTCATGCGATGTCTAAAAATCGCTTAAGTTTGTTTATCAATTTTTCGATCTCTCTGTGCAATTTTGAGACCCTGGATTGATTCACAAATAACGCATTTGTAACTCTGTCAGGTTGTTTAGTATCCCTTAAACCTTTTTGATGTGCTTCAAACTTTTATGGATCCTTCACTTTCCTGATATTCATTTTAATGAATATCATGATGGTGCTAAGTATTTTAGTTTCAATACATTGTTACGATGCTCACCCACTGTGATTATGACAGCTTTGTTGAAGCAGCAAGGCCTCAACACGAAGGGCATTCTTAAGGGTTCGCCTGTCCGAGAAGAATCACCATCACTTCCAAGTTTGAGTGGCAAGCTTGAGGTATCCCTTACGAACCAGTACTTTTAAAACTTTTCTTAGTACAATTCTCTGGTTTCAAATTTGCATTTCTATCCCCTTTACGTGGTGGTCTTGTTAATTTAGTGAGATTTTCACCTTAGGTTTGGAGGATAGTATGTGGTATGAAGAAACAAATTGCTGCTGAAGAAATTGGAAGATTTTACGAAAACAGCTGCTACATTGTACTGTATACTTATCAAGGAGAAGAACGTAAAGAGGAATACCTTCTTTGCAATTGGAGTGGCCGGCATTCCCCTCTGGTAAGTTTGGACCTGTAGGTGTAGTTCTGACGAGTGTTTCATTAAAACGCGACGCGCGGTCTTGTGACCAGGGGGGAGGTCTGGATGTCTAGTGGGTCCTTTCTGATTCTTACAATAATATTATTTTCGCGCCGTCTGTCTGTCTGTCTGTCTGTCTGTCTCCCTCTGTGTGCTTGTTTATGTGAGTGTGTCACACGGGATGGTTAACCAATATCCCATTATTAAGAAGAAATCTTGGTGTGCAGGAAGATAAGGATGCGTCCCTGAAAGTTATGAAAGACATGAGTGTAGCACTTAAAGGGCGTGCAGTGCAGGTAATTTCTCTTTTAAGATTAGCCCTTTTTGTTAAGATTTTATTTCGACAAAAAGATTTGGGATCTTGCTCAACACTAAGGTGTAGCATGCATTTTTGCTGGCGCTGTAAAATTCAGAAGGCATTGGCATACTTGGTCGATTATGTAATGGGTGGGACCGGTGGAGTGTGTTAGCCCGTCATTCTTTGTCTATAGTTTAACTGGTTGATTAGTAGCTCGGTGTTTAGGCTTTGCGTGCGATTCGTAAATTCCAGACTTGGACCTCTAAATTTGATGTTATTAGTTGTCGTGTTTCATTACAACGTGCACCAATTGCCAGCAACAGGGAGCCTCAACTTGGTTGTGCGTCTATAGTTTCATGTTGTGAATGTTTTGACTCATGTCAGGCTTACGTTGCACAAGGGAGGGAACCCATTCAGTTTTTGGCGCTGTTCAAATGCATGTGCATTCTGAAGGTTGGTCAGCTATTTTGTCATCAAGTACATGTCCCTGATTTTGAAAGACTTCACTTGCTGGATACTGTATCTTGTGCATATTATTAGTTGCAGCTTCCATCGAAGAAACAGCTAGTAATTGATGAGTGCAGTTGTAAGGTGTGCGAAGGAAGATTCACCCTGGGTTGGCCAAAGCAGGGAACTTGGAGGATGTTTTTATGCATATTGAAACATCTGGATCTTTTGAACTTTTGGCAGGAGCCTCCCAGTTTAGGCCAAAAAGACAATAACGCAGTAATGTTGGTGCGGGTGCGAGCTGCTGGTCCGAAAATTGTACAAGCCGTACAAGTAGAGCCTGTAAGTGGTGTTACTTTGCTGGCGATCTTTATCTGCAACCTGTCAGAAATTATACTTAGATGTTGACTACTTTTGACTTTTTCAATTTTAATCATGGTGTGGTTAATTGTTGAAGACAGCAGTTTGATTGATCGTCTCTTTTATATCTTGCAGTCATCCGCTTCGCTGAACTCCTCCGATTGCTTCCTGCTTCAAACCAACTCAAAATTGTATGCCTGGTCAGGCAATCTTAGTACTTTTGAGAGTCAAAAGGCGAGTCTGCTAGTGGCGGAAATTTTGAAGGTGGGATATATGGTACTTAGAGTGGACATGAATTATTTTATTCGGTGGTCAACCCGGTTGGCGATTTAATTATTCCCAAACCACATGCTGGGTTGAAGCAAAGTTCTTCAAATTTTGAAACTGGGCCGAGGTTGTAGATTCTTAATCTAGACAACAGCTATATGTCTCTTTGTTGAGCAGCGTCGTTGAATGTACTTCAAGCTCTGACTCTGTTGTTGACTGACGCAGCCTGGTGTTATAGCAAGGGCTATGAAAGAGGGTTTAGAGCCTCCGCTATTTTGGAGTTCTCTTGGAGGGAAACGGAAATATGCAAGTCAGAGAGAAGCAAGAGATGTTCCGAAGGATCCACGACTGTATGCTTGCAGTCTGTCACAAGGTGAGGTCTTATCCTATCAAGCAGATTGTGACTTATCTTTTTTAGGCTTTCTGATCAAATCCAGTCTCGTTAGTCTCTTCGAAGCTGTCTCTACCTTTTGTGTTGTAGTATCTTTCAATAATGCAAGTTCTAGAAGACAGTGCTTGCTTTAGTAACAAGTTGCGCTACGGATTTATCATATCTGACTCAAATCTGGTTGCTTGTCCTCGAATCATCAATTGCATATTTATCAATTACTATTCAGGAAATTTGAAGGTAATTCTCGCTCATATAGTAAATCGCTATGTGTACTGCAGTTTGAAGTGTTGTCTTATGTTAGCGTTCTTCTGGAGTTTAAAGCTTTGTCTTGTTCAGCGATAATCTCCGTAATAGTTATCGGTTCGAGCATCTAAGGCTTTTCTGTCCAAAATCTAGCGACTGCTTCTTGAATGATCTTAGAAAATTGGTGAGTGTCTATTAGTGCACTGAAGCTGGAATTGTGCAGGTGATCGAAGTACATAATTTCACACAGGATGATCTTCTGACGGAAGATATCATGATCCTGGACTGTCACAATATTATATACGAGTGGATTGGCCATAATACGAGCACAGACAACAAAGAGCATTCCTTAAGCATTGCCAAGGTATGGCACTACTTGGGTAGATCAGTGAACTAGGAGAGCTAATATTAATGACCAACAGCCCCCTTGTTTTATGTCTTGAAGCTGTCGTAGGTCAAAGCAGAATTTAGTTCCAAGAATTTAAACGTTAATCTGAGTTTCAAATGTTTCTCGCAGAGATTTCTTGAACGAGCAGAAAAATTGGATGGAGCACAACCTGATACTCCCATCTTTATACTTGCAGAAGGCTACGAACCAATATTTTTCACCTCCTTCTTCTCATGGGATTCCAGCAAGGTCAATGTCAGTATCACTGGTGCCTCTATTTGCTTCGTGTTTTTTATATTGGATTTACCAGGTGGTATTTCAACTTCCGAACTATTGCAGAAGTAAAACTCACACCAATATAAAACAATTCTCGCTGAAACCAGTCTGGATCATTTTCTTATGAATAGGTAACATAGAGATTATCGCAAACATCTAGATGTACAAATTTGAACACACTTTTGAATCCAAAGCTTATGAGATGCCACAGGTCAATGGAGACGCATATTCAAGAAAGCTTGCAGGGCTTCAAGGACGACGTATTCCTTCAGAGGTAACTACATTGAGGTTTTAACTAAATCAAAGTCTTATTTAAAAGCCTATTCAGAGACTATGTACAAGCTGCTTAGAGTTCACGACATTGGAACACCTCCTTGGGAGATAGCTACTAGATCGGAACTATTGTCTCAAGACAATCTTCATGCGCAATCTTAATATGTCTAAGTATTGCAGAAACCCCAAAGACATCTTACATCAAGTTCTTCAGTTGGAGCCAAAGACGAATCCACACAACGGGCTGCAGCTATGGCAGCTCTCTCATCGCAGTTGACGAAAGAGGGGAAGTTTTCCAAGGTTGTCCAAAATATAATCAATCAGAATAATTCAGCCTCTGCTCCAGTGAGTCCTAGATTTCATCGACCATCAACTGCTAACTCTCAAAGAGCTGCTGCAATGGCAGCTCTATCGTTAATGTTTGGTACGAAAAAAGCAGGATTAGCCTCTTCAGTTTCAGGTGAGATTTTGTCACTTTTGGTTGCTTAATTTATGATAGAACACAACCTGGTGACCGCTGTAATGCTCATCTCACTAAAGCTGTGATGCAGATCTGTTGCTGTGAATCGTGTATGTTTAATTTTCTAATCTTCACTTGACACTAGTATAAAGTGCCGTTTATGTCGAACTGGCCAGAATTAGTAGTACTAAGTAATTTACCTTGATTCATTTTGTCTTTGCTTTTGCAGTTGATTCTGATTGGATCGCTGGAAGTTCGCCGTTCACGAAAATGGAGGCATCAGGGGATACAGAATCTGTAACAAGCTCTAAGTCTGAAGATGGAGGGGATGAAGGGGAGGAAATCACCGAATTTTTCAGTTATGATCGCCTGAAAGCATCGCCCACGGATCCTGATTTAAAAATAAATGTAAAAAGAAAAGAGGTACGTGTCACACCAAAACTCATTGCACAGTTGTTTCCAAGAGTAACGAATGTTAATTCGTTGGCAATGAAGTGCTGCTAGTAGCCAGTGGTTTTGAATTCTATCCGAGACACTGCATTGATTCTTAACTTTCGTTTTAAAGCAAAGACGCTCTGAAAAGCGTCCCACGAAACCCACCGGATGCTCCTTTTTCATTAAGCATTGACTGTTTCCTCTCTTGTAGGCTTACTTATCTCCCGAAGATTTTGAGAAGCTGTTCGGAATGCCCAGAAGCCAGTTTTATGAGTTGCCAAAGTGGAAACAGGATCAACGCAAACGCAATTTACAACTTTTTTAGTTCATCATTATTTACGACTTCACATAGTGTGAATTTCTAAGGTATCTTTTGTTCATCTGTAAGATGTAGCATGAGTAGTAAGGGTGCATGTCTCACCCAACATGTAAATCGAGCTTTTGGAATATTTCCAAATTTCGCATAATTGAGAAGCTGTGATAGGCCTGTCCCTTCGTGCAACCATCCAAGTTGTATAACTAGTAAGAATAGAGTTCTGCATTCTAGTGCAACTATCACTGTCAATAGACGTTTGATGTATAGTACACAGCTAGATACCTAAGTGATAATAGGTTGAATATTAGAGAGTCCAAATTTAGAACGTACTGATGATGTAATCCAGGTAGAGAAGTCATTGATGTACCCAATGTGTGCATTAAATTAATAGTATTGCTTCTGGTGCTCATACATTTCAGGGTCTACTTTTAAAGTCAAAAGTGCGTTCACGTTGTGAACGATTGTTATTCAAGTCTAATACCTTTGATCTGTGGATGCTCATGAGATCCTTCAGCTCCATAGAGCTAGGTGAAATAATTCTTGCCTGGATAGTTGTCTCAACCTCGGCACTTTGGGGCTCAATAGAACGTTCCTTGATGATCTCTGCCTGTGCCACCCCCCCGTTCTCTGCACCTGCCGCATGGATGGTGTCGTGAGCAATTAGATTACCGCTGCAATTTGGCTGCATTCTACGCAAACCACCTGAATACGCAAATATGTCTTCTTTACTGAAGAGAACAGCTATTGTTGCTGCATCGGTGCTATTATAAAACCTCAATTAATTTTCGTGGACATATCCAAAAATGATCAAAGCCCAAGTTGGTGCATCCATTCATATGTGCTTTGTAGATTACAAGGAATCGACAAAATCAACAAAGACGTTCTATTGTCAGTATTTACAAATAAAGGATTATTTTGGTGTTCCTGAAACAGTTTTGAAAGGCCTTTAAAGGTTGAAGTAGTTTTAAGTATCAATATTGACATACTACTTATAGTGGCAAGAAGAGATTCAAGTGTTTGTGGTGCAATTATGTAAACACCTCAAACATCTTGCAACATGTTTGCTATACTAAAGTTTTCAATTTTCTTTTGTTTCTTTGGAGCAGCCTCAGGTTGTCATAAGTATATGGTTTCCATGAGATGTCATAGTGGATGAAGATCTCCCATTTCTAAGGATAAATTTTCCTACTTCTCCTTGATTGCATGAATACAAGGCACTTCCATTGTTTGAGTAAAAATTTAGGATTAAAGGTTGCCCAATTAGCTCTTCTTGAGAAACTCTTTGTATATTTCTTTAAGTGCAAATTCAAAGACTTTTAAGATCTTGTTCTCATAAAATAGTCAACCTTGATTATAATGAATTTGTATGTGTTCTCTTCCAACTTAAGTTCTAATTCCATTGATCCAATTTACAAACACTTATAAAAAAATTAATTTGAACTTAAAGAAAATATTAAGTTAATCCTTGCAAGTATCTCTTCAATACAAAGTGAGATCCTTCCACATACAATGAGTTTGTATTTCCTAAGTAAGAATACTTATTTGTCCATGGGGCAACAAATTGCTCATTATGATCCTTAATTTGAGTGTCATTGAAATAATTTACAAGTGATAATATAGCCTAGTATTTGTTCTTTAAGTTGGTCTAATGCATTTTTAATGCTTGTGTAGTACAAGAATAGAATATGCTTTGTCAAATTTACTCAAAATCTTTCTAAGCTTCTATGTTGCCAAAATACTTTTTGCAATTTGCCAATACATTTTTATTGATGAGCCAAATACAAAGAAACAATTGGAAGTTAGAAAAAATATATATATAAATGTACAGATCAAAGCAAGCTTGCAATTTTTTATTAGTATAACTGGTTTTTGATAAGATATAAACTTGACTAATTGTTCCAAGATCCATATATAATATGCTTTGCTTTTATTATTCAAAGAAGCTATTACAATAACAAATGTTTAATTGAAGCTTGTCAAGCCAACTATGTAGAGCATCAATACCTTGAATTTGTTTGTCTTGTATGTTGTTGTATTGTAACATGACTATTAGCTGAAAAATAAAATAAATTAAAGATTATATAATACAAAAAATTAATAAATAAAATATAATAAAAAAATATTTTTTAAAAATACAAAAAAAATTAATAGAGAAGTAATAAAAATATTTAGCGTTAATGTTGTCTTTTTAAAAGGATTTTGTATTTATCTGTGAGACCATAAATAAGAAAACACAAAGTAGATTAACAAAAATAATATTAAAGAAATCTTTGAATAAAATAATATAATAAATTTAATAAAATTTACATAAAAATCCCTTAAATTGATATCCAAAGAAGACTAGTTGTGAACTAGAGTCAAAACTAGATCCATAGACACAAAACCATGCATCTACATCAATTGTATTTTATTTTTTATTTTTGTTTGTTTGTTTGTTTTTGTTTGTTTTTTTTGTTTTTTATTGATTTAAGAGTGGGATTAGAGATTTGAATTAATAAGGTTTCTTTGAGTGTTTTTTTAAGAAAATTAGAGTTGATAATGACTATGTGAGAGCTTTACAAAATTAAAATTGTTTTGGGTGACTTTAGGTTTCGTAAATTAAAAAAGAATTTATACTTTAGAAAACTTCATGAGTTTTGTAATTTATCTATAAGTAAAAATTTGCATATTTTTGAAAATAGATATGCTAAATAATTTTTTATAAACCTAATCTAAATTAAATGCTTGGATTAAAGGTTATTAAAATTAAAGTGGATTAGGATCTTAGAAATTGGATTATGAGGATTAATGAGGGTTTCTATGATTTTGAGCAATTTAATATTCTCTAAAATCTAAGGAGGTCTTTTTACATAGGAGACAAAGTAAGAGGCCACAACTTTTAATGTTTTGATTGGTTGATATCAAGAAGCCTCACTTAGTTATCTTTGTACTTGGAAAAATGAATTCAAAAACCCAAAGAAGAAAGAATGAGGTATAATGAAATTTTTTTGTACATGACATTAACAATTTTGTTCTTTATAGTTTATTGTAAGCCCACCTAAAGAGATAATCTTTATAAAGTATTGAGAAATTGTGTTAGAAATTAAAAATTAAAATTTAACTATGTTTCTCATAATTGTTAGAATCAAGATATGAGCTAACATATACTAATACTAGAAAAAAAATTGGTCCATTTTATGACCTCTTCTTAATTTATACTATCTAAAATAAAAACCTTTGGAAGACTTTTATATCAAAATATTTCAAAGTGGGCTTTGAAGTGTAGAAATCCCCTAAATGCTCTACAAATATAAGATTCATTGGTTCTGTATTTACTCTAATATGAAAGCATCACGTTGAGTGGTGATTGTACAAAGTCAAAGCTCCCATCGCTTTGAATATGTGAGGTGAATCAAACCTACTGGCAGCATCTGCACCGTCCAGGTGGTAATTTTCGGGCGTGGCTCTCAAGGCCCATGTCGGCCGAACCGTCCTCCCGCTAATTTCCAGCGAGCGCCGCTTAATCCTCGAATCGCACAATTACGACTCTCTGAGCTAGGATGTGGAGATGCACATGAGATCACTAGGCTTCTGACGATCTAGTGGAAGAATGGGTTGCCGTGGGGGCTCAGATCTGCGACGAGTTCCATCACATTTTGAGTTTTTCGGTGCGAAATGGGGCGTGTTGGAATAGGAATGTGGGCACCAGTTTTTTTTTTTGAGGTGAATTCGAGCTGTGGTGGAGGATCATGGAGCGGTCGAAGGCTTGAAGGGTGGGAGAGATCGGGTGGTCATGGAGCCCAAGGAGATTGGGGTGGTGATGACGAGAGCCAGTGAGCTCCACAGCAGCATTTGCGATGCCATAGACAGAGTGACACAGTCACGGATTTTCGGTGGTGGGTCGCTTCGTAGCTTCGGAGAGGAAGAGGTAATTGTGCCGGAATGTTCGAGTGTGGAGAAAGCGCACAGCTTGGCGGGTATTCGAATGGCCATGGAGGCGCTGGAAACGCAGCTGAAGTCGCTTCAGATGGGTGCAATCTGCAGTGCCGATATCTTTATCTTTTAGGTCTTCAACTCTGGTAATGGAATAGAAGCATTTTGTGAGAAAGTCAGTCGACGTAGTTCAGTCTAGGCCTGACAGTGCCCATTCATCATGCATTTGGGTACGGTTCTGGTTGTGGCTTACAATGTCAGTTGGATAATCCTTACCCTGGTGCATTTTGTAATGTTTCAGTTAGCATTTGTGTAGCTTTATCGCAGCACAGGGATAATTAGGTCACATTTGTAGAACATAGGTATTTTTCTTATCTGTCAATGCTTCAGTCTGTGCAGCAGCAATAGCGGATTCGCAAGGATGCAGCCTTGGCAAAGCTGGAAGAAAGCAGAAGACTCTTGTTGCTGCGGCTGAGACAGCACAATGGGCAGGAACTGGAGTTGGTGCAGGAAGCCATGGCATTTGTAGAGGGGCCAGTGAAGAAGGCCAACGATGTCCCCCAAACGCACCACATTCACCCTGTCTTCCCCTCCATCCACAGCGGCTCTCCTGTACTCACAGCATCCAAGGGGCACAAATTCAAACCCAGTCCTGCTAAGAAGCTGGAGGATCGACCCTCTTTCAATGACAGTCACTTCCTGGCGGACGATCTGTCACCTCATTCGCAAGCTGTGAACTGTAAGATTCGTTCAGATGAAGGCAGAAATCCTATGTCTGGCAGACTCTCCAAGGTGTTCTCCCGCATGCTCAGCTTCACTGGAAAGACATTATCAGTGGTGGCGTCTGTTGCAGCATTTCTGGTGGTCTCTGAATTGAATCTCAAGTCCAAGAATGTTTCAATGCGAGGACCTTCACAAACATCACCACAGCCAGTGCCAGTGCCAGTGCCAGAGCCCAAGCTGGAGGAGAAGCTAGACTTGAAGCCAATTCTTGAGCATCCAGTGGGTTACAAGCGCATTGAAGATGATGACACGGTCAAATGCATAGTTAACGAGCGTGTTGAGCTTCTGTTTCCTCTGGGAGTTGGTACTCGCGATATTTTGTATGGTCGCGGGTGACATGTCTTACAATGTCGACCTCAGCAGCAACTTCTTCAGTATAGCACTTCCAATCATTTTTTAACATTAAAAAAATAATAAGTAATTGCTACTTCGCCAATTTGAAACTGCCTCCGCAGTTGAAAACAATTGGGCAGCACTAGATGATTAAGATATAATCAGTTTATCTGGTAACGGAGGTTAGTCTTTCGCAAGAGGATAACGCAGTCTAATTTGTGAAAGCCTCACAGCTTTTCAGATCGGCTGTCCTTCTAGCCGCTACTTTTAGTCATGACCCAATGAATACTCCATTTTCAAACTAATCTGCCAAAAGTCCTGTCATAAGACAACAAATAAGGACGGGAAAGGAGAAAAAGTAAGCTCTTGCAAACACAGCATGCAGTTGCGAGTCAATTTTACATGTAGAGCAATCATCTAAGAGATATTGGAAGAAACAATGAATGCGGAATATGGATAAGTTATTTTTTTATGAATGTTTCAACTACTGTTGTAAGCTTATAATTTTCATTGCAGAAATTCAGAACCCAATAAACGAGTATTTGACATTATCGCGTTGAGTTAGCTACCCTCCCATCACTGGGAAAAATAATAAAACCGGTCGCTACATTACCAATGCATGAGTTTGAGGAACCACGAGGTACACTGCAACTATGCTCTCTGCTCAAAACTCCAATAATTTTAATGTACAACGTGGATCCACAAAAATCAGGCAAGCAGCAGCTTTGACCTCATTTGCCAAGATGAGTAAGAATTCGATTGATCAAGATGTCCTTTTTGCCCAACAATGGGAGGCCGTTAGCTCTCAAGTAAATTTTGAGCTGCTCTGTAGTAAGACTCTTGAGCTGCAAATGTAAACAACCAGCAATCATTTAGCACGAAACATGGATAAATGCTTCAAAGACTCGAAGTCACCCTTCTCCACAATACCACTCTGTACAATATCTACAATCAGAACTTCACAATATCTGAGACTTGTTATAACAAGCTTGAAGCTGCAAAGTCCATAGAAGATCAAGAGTTCCCAAAGGGTGGACAACATTCGCACCTTTCCAGCGTCTGCTAGCTGTACCCAATTATACTCTTGAGCTTCTGTGGCAGCCAGTTCTGCGGCTGCTTTGCGCTTCTGTGCTGCTGCGCCGCCCTTCTCTTTTGCAGCAGCAGATTCTGCTTCCTCTTCATCGTATTGCTCCCCGAACACACTATTCTTAAATATCTTCGCAAAAAAACTTGCACTGCGGTTTCAATAAAACACACATTAACAAATTTGAGTGTGAAAACAAAGAGCACCCTTTCTCAGCAAACGTCCAGCCAGAACTTAAGCACGCAACCACATCATTAGAGCCATCTTCACAAAGCGATCACAGAGTCAATCAGTCAACTTCGTCCACCTTGCAGGAAAAGATTGAAGATAAAGGCCAGACTAACCAAAGCCAATTCAGGGTATTCGCAAAAAGTAGATTACGTACCGTTCTATACGCTTTGAATCTGGTAGAGTTTCATCCTCAATTTCTGAGATATCATCTTCCTCAAGTCCCACTGCCTCAATGATTCTATATTGTTTCTGTAGAGCTGCACAGAAATACATCAAAGTTTGAATTCGGGAGCGTTTTAAAGCGATTTGAGAAATGGAATAGGCTGTGATAGAACCTTTCATAAATATCAAATACGATCAAACTTTTGTTCAATCTTCCCTTTCTGAATCTCTTACTACGTCACACCAATCATAAGTGGTTACTCAAGACGAAGACAAATTTCTCTCTCGTACTTGGCACGGAAATGTTCTACAACTCTGAGAATCAAAGCACAGATTGTTCAGTCGACTTCCGAAGTACCGCAGCTGTGGCACGTATGTAGTCGAACAATTTTGAATACCTGGATCTTGAATATCTGTAACTGAAAAGTTCTTTAAGTGAAGTTTTTTAATTAAATCTGTTGCCATCTCCACTTGCTCTTCCGATGCCTTCGAAATTGGGGAGATGCTTGTATGGTACTGCATTACCACGGCACTTTAGAACAGTGAGGAAGTATTACCTTCAAAAATATTCAATAATCATTGCTTCTCATGGGCCAAAATAATTGGACAATGTAACAAAACGCAATAATTGATCACGCCAGACCTTCTCCGCAGGGCGAATATCATCCGAATAAGGCAAATATATCACATTCATGCCATTTGTGCTATCACCTTCTTCCTCCTACAACAAACACAAGTTCAATCAGTTTCGCACATGCTGGTTTTCGGGAATGCTTCAGCTTTGTTACATCACTTTATTCTACCGATGAAAAATTCTAATCGAACACCAGCTGCTACTATTATGAAGAAAATGCTGGAAAATCAGTATAATAAAGAACTTGAATGAACCGAAATGTCTCGCAAAAGGGATGACGATACTCGTACTAGCCAGATATTAAAAGTTCATGCATGAGAGACATAATGTAATCCATTCGTTGTCAAGCAGGAAAACATGCATAGAGCTTTCAACATAACAATTCTAGGTATCTTTACAAGAAAATCAACAATATGAAGGAATTGTTCTGCAATCTGTTGGATACAATTGCCGAAGGAAAGATCATGTAAAATAAGCAGGCTTCAGTCTACCTGTGCAACTAGTGCAACCAATTGAAATGTTGCTCGTGACGACAAGCAAGCAAGAGCATATCTGCATTATAAAAAATTACATAATAGAATTAAGATGGCTTATGCCGCATTAATACCTCAGCACAAGGAATTCAGATTATCTTACAGTAAACTAAGTGTTTAAATTGCATACAATATGGAATCACGTTCAGAATTGCTTGGACACTAGAGGGTACTGAGGAATTACTTGTTCAATCGCACCATAGCTCTGTGTAAAGCAATAAAAGCGCATGTGCTTCCCTTTACCGCCTGCATCATAACATTGTGTCAATTGGTGTGAACTAATAGGCAAAGTGAATAAATGGCAATTTGTGGTCAGCTATTCCCCCAAAAAAGATTGATCATTGGACTCAAATAACATTAACAATCCTATCATGAATTGTATCCATACATATGAGTCATTAAAACCAAGGAATATTACCACTTCGTCAGGATATATGAAAGTTGACGGGCGCAAATTGTGATACGGTTGTAAACATGACATAGACTTGAATCCCAAGAGTCGAAGTTGAACACTGGATATCCTTTTGATATCTGACACATCGTCCACAGAAAATACGACCTTCTTCCTGCTAGAGGCAAGCTCACTACTAAATGACTAATTGCTCAAAATTGCTGCAAATAATGAACTACTCGACATACACACACAGTTTTATTCTGTCATATATACCGTAAGCAACAAACCATGGTAAGTTGCACATACCCTTGATATTCTTCAAATCTCTTCAGAGGCTCATGCATCAATGCTCCGGTGTCTGAACAGATGTAGGTCCTTTCGATCTGCAGCATATCAATTTTTCACAAACTGCGTACGACATTTCAAGATAAGAATATCTACACAAGGACTACGGCAAACACTTGAACTTTGCATTCAAATTTGAGCCAAACACAACAGAAAAGAATGGAGTAAAGACCTTGAGGGGCTGATTGTTACGCGAATCAACAAAAATGTGAGAGGCTGCAGAAAAAGAAAAACTACATCATTAAGAACTCGAACACGTATCATATCCATATTCTGCTCATAGAAAAATTAGCACAAATAAAACAATATGGGGTGCTCCAGAGACTAATAAACCATCCCTTGTGAAGGAAATCCTTGAAAGTAGCGAGCAAGAACCTAGTTTGAAGAACATCGTTAGACTTGAAAAAAAGAGAAAGATTCTTTATTTGCATAGTTAAAAGATGGTTAAGATCGTTACGTGGCACTGCGGGGCGTATTAAAGCATATGTTTTCAACGCAATCTCAGTACCACTTCCGACTGTCAAGAGCATTTTGCGTACAATTCGTTTCTTGTACATTCTTCTCCTCAAGGTGTCCACGAGATCATCAAATCTGCACATATCATGAGGATCTATAAAAACATTGATTTGGACGACAGAACTTGTTCGTAACTTATACGCAGTAACATGCAGTTTAAAAATTTCAAATCCATGCTAACTGCGACTTACCTGGAAGATGGTTCAGAATCTTGTGATGCATCCTCGTTACCCTCAAATTGAGTAATCATCTGTCAAAACTCAATCCACAAAGTCCATTCAATATGATTTACAGAAGACTGACCAGCATTAGTAGCAGAAATATAAGGTGCCAAAATCTTTAACTGGACCTCCATACTCTGGTCAATCGTGTCTGCATGTGTGAAAAAACATACAAGGAACTGCACCTTACATTGTAGAAGGTCTTATCAAATAATTTATCAGGAGTGTTTAAGGCAACCAATTCGATATTTATTCCCAAATCTTGAGCATCCTGTCAAGTGAATACATCGAATAAGTAATCAGGCCACCCATTTCAAGCTCCAACTAACACACTTGAGATGTCTTAAATAATAGCTATTGGATTTTCAAGTGACAAGGAGTAATCAAAACGATTGTATGATCGATGAGAATCAATATCTAGTACGGTACAAAATAAGTTAGATCTGTTGTCAAGAAAGTAGTTCCTTCAATTTCAACTAGAAGCAGAGACCACAAAAGTACCAGCTCACGACAAGGTCCACAAGAAAATCTGAGATGAGCAAATTTCAGGACATACTAAGGCTCGTTGGATGGTTGTGCGCTCCAAATCCTTCCTCACGAAAGCGTCATTAATATCACCAAATGGATCGTCATTGTTTGTGATGATAACTACAGACTTTTCCACGTTCTTTACACTATTCACACAATTACCAGTAAGTACAAGTCAAAAACATCTTTCTATGCTCGTAATACCAACATCGTGTAGCAAAAAACAAGATCTGCAGTAGACATTACTCAGAGAATGAGCACTTCAGGGAATAAAGAGACATGAATTCTGTCACTGTGATATTTCTGAGTCTGACATGGCGGCTTTGACTTCATATGCTCATTACGTTAAAATGAGTTAGCGATGGCCAATGAAGAATACCCTGAACGAAGCATAGCCTGTACCACCCACAGTGCATCATGTAAAGGATGCTCCCTTGCATTTGCTGCTGCCGTGACTTGACTACCAATATCCTTTTGGAAACTTCCTGCAAAGGGCTCAACAAATATCCAATTTACATGAGATACATCTAGATCTGCAAAAGCCAAAGAACCAACTCCAAATGCAATCAAAACATCAACTAGTCAAATTCGCAATGCCTAAAATAGATCAGGAAATACCAACACATGTAAACGGAAGCAGGGAATACCATGCAAGGAACGAAAGTTTCTAATGAGCTCCGCCGACAAATCATCAAGCTCCGACCACACATACACACCGTCTGCCTCTTGGATATTCTTCTTTTTCAACTGATTGCAGCAAACGAATAACACTTTCAATCCCGAACTAAATGGGTTGCAATTAAACGTAAGAAAAGGGTCGTATTGATACCGCACCCAATAGGTGCTGATTGTTACATAATCTTACGACCCAAATGTATCCAGTAAATTTCCAGACTGCACATCGAAATGTAAATGACTGCAAATATAGGGACAGTACTGACTGTATTGAAGAAACAAATTCCAACTTTGTCATCTCGCGCAATAATCCTTTTCTTCAAGTTTTCTTCGACAGCCTTCATCGCCCATTTTAAGCATGACTCCTGAGAAACACTCATTACATTCAACACTATAGACAGAAACTCCAATGCAATGAGTTAGCTAACAATTTTCAAACTAACATGATCTCATTGCAAGGTGGTTTATCTGCCGAATCCTTGTTGCCAAGTCACAAGTTATATGCACAGGCCGTTCTAATCTCCAAAAGGCGACCAGAACTTCTAACCCCTTTCTCAAACGGCAGCATCATGTCGCAGCCAGAATCAATGAGGTACACCAGATACTCCTTGTTGGCCAACAAATCCTGCACGTACACAAAGAATCTTCAATTCACATGCAATCATAAACTGTAGTCTACATCAGACGCCAGATGGAGAGCATGTGTGTAACAGGGAAATAAAAAATTGCAGGTATCATGAAAGACCTTGAGAGGCATTTCTACATGTTCATATTGCAAGCAAGGTTAACAAGTAGATATGTTTACATGTGGATAGCTAAATGTGAATGGTTTCATCGATGGTGAATTAATCACACTCTAGTTTTAGCATGAGCGGAATCTCCGACGAAGAAACAAGAAAACCGCTTTAAAAGAATGAATCACAACAGTACAATGCTTCGAAAGAGGTGGAAAAAGTTAGCTAAACTCCTTTCCAAAATTCAAATCTACTATCTAATTTGGAAGAAATGCGACGTACCGTGTCATAGGTATCCTCCTGCTCTTCCTCCTCGTCCTCAAACAAACCACTTAGGCTTCTGTAATCCATGGGGAACGAAAAATATTCTAAAGATGTTCGATGGTTGTCTACTATTGCTAAAAGTTTCGACAATTGCACGATTCGATGCCGCAGTGATTCTCAATTCCTGCGACGGAACACCAGAGTATCAGGTAAATGAGCAAGAAAACTATTTCACTTGCGGGCGAAAATGAAGAAGAGAAGAGATCAACGCGATTATTCATTTGTTGTAAACAATGCTCCTATGCGTCAAACTATACGCTCACCGGCGAACCTCTTCTGTTTAGAACAACCCTACAACAGCTCATCCAGTAAATAGAGTAAAAATGAACATTTATTGCGATCAATCGCAGCAAATTTCGATATCGATTACGGCTAAGAAGGACGTATAATCAACAAAAAAAAATCAAGAAAAATCACCATCCACACAAATTTCCGGCATGCAATGGAGGGCCGAACTTTAGAACGAGCAAGTTCTGAAAGAAAAATGGAAGTTCCGTTCTACCACGTGGAAACTGTGCATCGCATTTCCAAAAGAAACAAAGAACCTCCGCAACAACAATAGGGCAATAATTAGAGACTTCTCTCAACTTCTGAAACAGAAATGCATAATATATTGGCACAATCTTAACCGACTCATGTAAGGCACAAGCGAGCTGACTGCTCGTGCACTTAAACCACCAAAAACTCGCGCAGAACTTCTCGATGTCGACTCAAACGCCGAAACTCCGCATACACAACCCGGAATAAATCCAATTACGCCGCAATCACTCAGTGCGACGGGTTCCTGACTCCTGGAAATACTGCCACCAAGGAAGTCCTCGCAAATTTTCCAAAAACGCTCATGAGTGCCAAATGCGTACCGCTCTGAGAACAAGTTTCATGACAGATTCGCAAGCTCTAAGTTATGACACAACGGCGGAGATCGGACTCGTTTACTAGAAGCTCTCAGCAAATGCGAGAGCCTCAACAGAAGGGGAGCTTGATGATGAAGCTTGGGGGCTGGAGAGCCTGCCTTGAGTTGAGTCCGACGAGTGGGACCAAGAGACGCCAGCATCGTCGGGGTACAAGCCCCTTTTGAATTAGAACTTCGTCTGTCCACGAAGCATGTACATTTTTAGTAAAAGAAATTGTAAAAAATCCACGTGGATCGTTGAATATATTTTGGATTTTTTTTTTGTTTCCGATCTCCATTTTTTAAAAATAAATAATATTCATACTTTATCATGCCTTTGTACACAATATATATATATATATATATATATATATATACATTACTTAGGACAATCTATTTCAAAATTTTAAAATAATTTAGTAACTTGCAAGTTTGAGACTTCAAAAAAAATTGTAATGGATAGTTCTTTAGGGAATGTTCAATGTAAAGTTTTTGTGTGTGAAAATTATCTAATTGTATTCAACTGCTGCAGGACATAATCCACTTCCTACTGCATTTGAACAATCCAGACCATAGTAGGAGAGCTACTGAATGATATTATGGATGCTCAATGTTTTTGAAGATGTATACCATTGATTTTTTTTTAATCTTTGATTTAAACAAAGCGAAAAACCCAGAAACATTTTTTAAAAAAATAGATATTTATTTATTTATTTATTTGGTTGTGTGTATGTATAATTTTTGTTGTAAATCACACAAATCAAAAATTAAGAAAGATATATTGTGTTTTATACAAAGATTATTAAAGCTAATAATCGTATGTGTTTTTATTTTTGCTCAATATTCAACTATTAAAGAACAAGATAGCAATCCTAATAGAAAATGCGTGCACACATGTTTGTCCCCAAAAAAAATTCATAAGATATGAAAATCTCAAAACCATATCACACATACTGCACAACATCTGTGCATTTTTAACAGTATGAGCAGACGTAAGAATGAATTTTTAAAAATATACATGAAACTTATGAAATATCTTTGAGGATGAAAGAAGAGTAAATGGTGGTGCACAAATGTGATTCAAGTGTGAATTCATTAAGCGCAGGCAGTTCTGTTAATTTTACTTGCGTTCAGAAACAAATAAAATTAGAACGGCTGCACACATAGAAACTGTAAAAAACTCAGGTTATCATTCACATACTTATGAAACTTTGAAATGTTCAAGGATAGCTTTTACAGTACTACCACAGCTGCCAGTCGCGTGCAGACAGAATTTGAGAATGACAAATTACTTCTTCCTCATTGCCTTCAATTTCGCACCTGTGTATTTGTTGATCCCTGATATGCGTACAAATCTCAATTGAATTCTCCTCAAGTTGTAAACTTAAAAAAAGAGGGGATGCGTAGTATGCCGATTGAAGGACCCGTCTTACAAGTGATGTGACTATAGTTGGTAGTATTTGGAGGTCATTCCAGTTTAGCGTTTAAGATTTCTACATACAATCCATTCAGCGAAATTTTGTTACTTCAGTCAAAAGAAGCAAAAAAGGCCCGTTAATATGTTCTACGGAGGTTCTTGGTAACGGAGAGTGAATGTTCGGTTGAATAATTAACAGTCTTATGATTCTCATTGAGTGAGGTCAAGGCCCTAGACTGTTACACATTAACGTATGCATATAGGTTTTGGAAACATGCAGTTCATGGCCATGGAGTTCACAATTGCAAACGCGTGTTTCAGGGAAGAGGCAGCACGCGAGAAAGGTTGCTTTAGTGTGTACCTGCACAGGAAGAGGACAACAGACTCTCTGTCCTGGGGACAAGTCATCGAATAAAACTTCTACAAAACTTACCAACCTCACTGGACAAACCAGGATCGTGAGAATTCATCCACAGGAGAATCATCGAGTCTTCACATTCACAAAAATCTACAACGACGCTAATTCATAATACAATGGTTCCGTCTACGCCTTTGCCGACTGCAATGTGGCCGCGTTCTTCTGGTTGGCGAGGATTCTCTCGTACACGCTCCTGATCTTCAGCCCGCAGATGGTTTGGAACAATCCAGTGCCATTGTTGCTACCAGGGAAATCTGCGTGCTTCAGCATCTGTTGAGTTATCTCTCCGTAGAACTTGGTAGAGATGTTGCTCAGGTGAGACTCGACATAGATGAGTTCGTCCAGCTTGTCAAACTGACCGTCCATCTCCAGCACGGACACCTCGTTGCCATAGTAGGTGTCTGGGCCGTAGAAAAATTTGATTCCGGGGTAAGAGCAAGTGAGCTTGCGGCCGCAAGGGATCCAAGAAATGGTGGAGCCCTCGTCGAAGAGGTAGACCGGCTCGAAGAAGGGCACGCCTTCCTTCATCACCATACGTACCCTCAAGACCTTCCCTTCGTTGTCATCGGGGATGAGCTGAGTAGGAAGCACCTGGATAACAACGTCGGCGTACTGCTTCTGGGGGTCTGCAAACAATCCAACCTCTAGGTCAAAATTTCTTCTCAAACCATTTATCTGTTGCTATCTCTTCGTACTGTAACTGGAATGCGAATAATTCCTACGTCCTTGCCTGGAATTTATCACATTTGAACAGATATGCTAGAAGACATACCAATATATGCATCGAAGTCAGGTTTGCGGGCGGCGATACTAGCCTTGATACTCTCCAAGCTGTGGCCTCTTTCAGCCATGTCACGCTGCACAATAATTCGCCCCGTAAATACGTCAAAAATCAGAGCGTTGCGGTGGTGTAATAATGTGAAACACAGCTATAAAAAAAGGCCCTCTCTACAGGGACTTATCGCCGCCATCAAATAGCTTCAGATAAGCAGGACTAGAAATTTGCATTTGATGAGATAGCGAACCTGGATCTTCCAGGCGAACTTGACGTCATCACTGATGTCCAGGTAGATACTGAAGTCCAGCAACTCCCTCACACGCTCATCGAACCTACACAATACAGACGGAGCAGTTTAGAATGACGAGATCAAACTCAGGTTTTGGTCAACTACAGTGTTGTAGGACAGGATCTATTTCCGCTAGCAGGGTCGGGATAGCTCAAAATCAGAATGTCAAAATTGGCCACCCGACACGACGAGCAAAGAAAAGCTTCAATCTCGGGTGCTCCTGTACATTAACTACGAGACATCACCTCAGTATGCTCGCGGTAACTGTCGCCGACAAATTGTCTGTTATGGGTTTCGCACCGAAAGAAACAGAACCAATAAACCAGCATCTCAAATCTCTAAACAAAGTGTCTCCTCGAATATGATTCTCTCTACGACCCGTGAACACATCATTGGTGCACACATACATTTGCGCAACGTAAGCCAATACGCATCCCTACCTCTGAAGAGATGCATGTCTAAGAAAAACTTGCCGGGTTTATGGGCATCAAGTCGAGACTCTATATATTCGACCCATTGCGGGCAACAGCACGACATCCGGTACTATGTTCAGTTTTCGTCTTTGGCAGTAAACAAAGGTCTGTGGCACGAATTCCAAGGGAACCATTAGTGTAATCAACATTCTAGGATCCCTGTGACTTTAAGAGTAAATTGTGCAGTGACTCCAAGAATCCAGGAGAGTAATTGTTTTCGTCCTCAGATAGGACCCGGCATTTCTTACAGCATGAAGGGTCTCGGGTCGTGGAATTGGCTGAAAGTGCATGAGCAATTCAGCCAAGCATACTTAACGACGTCAAAGATTAAAAAATCATTCTAGAGTCTTACAATTCTTTTAAGAAAACTCACATTGGGTGCAGACCCTCAATAACGAGAATCTTCGGGGGGTGGATTGTCTCGGGGGCATCCAGGAGGCCGGTGACGTGGTTGTAGATTGGCTTCTCGACAGACTTCCCCTCCTTCAAAGCCTTAACCTGCTCGTACATGAGATCGAAGTTGTTGGCCTTAGGGTCCAACGCGGTAACGGCCTTCTCCTTGCGACCATACCTGTCCAATGAGTGGTAGTCGTCCAAACAGATCACAGTGGTGGTGTCACTGATTAAGGTGTTGGAGTCGGGGTTGCCACCCTTGGGAGGAGATGCAGCACCGCCGAACACCGACGTCAACCTGCGCATGAAAGTGGACTTCCCACACCCGGAATCGGCAGCCAAACCAATAACGACAGTCTGGCCATCGGCAGCCTTGCACACCACGACGGCCCTCCTACCAGCACTCCTGTACTTGACACCAGAGCTCTCAAACCCCGCAACCTGGGACACACTTGCGACGCTCTGGCCATGGAACGCAGATGTCAAATGCACCGGCCTCGCGGACCTTGCAGGCTTCACAGCTGCCAACCGGGGCGTGGACAAGGCCGTGGAAGCAGCAGAGGTGCACGCCATGGCTGCCATTGCTGGTACAAAAATTGTCACGCCCCAAACAACAAACACTCACAGTCCCAAGGTCCAATTGAGGAACTTGCTGGTGGATTCTGTAATTCAGAAATGGCGACCTCACAGAAGTCTGGTCCAGCTCCACAGGACTGATGATCGAGGACGAGGAGGGCCTTATCCGTGGGGCGCGAGCAAAAGAAAGCATCGCCTAATCTGGGACATCCATTCTTCTATGGGGAGGGAGCCACTCGTTGAATATCTCAGAATTACGTGGCTGGTCCCAACTCGATTCCCATGTTCTCCACAAAATTGCCTTCCGTTGTTGATTTACAAACATTTTGCTCAAAATCCAGCAAGCATCGACATGAAAATCACCATTACTCATATGAAATAGAATCTAGACTTCGGTATGGTAAGTTCACACATCAACGCTCCTCATTCAAAATTAGATGGTATTCATCTGCTTTTGGCCCTCCCCCCCCCCCTGCACATGCCAAGTGTCATTTGCAACAAGTGTTTGCACAGCCTACTCTTACTCCAGCCTTGGCAAACACCCACAAAAATTAAAATGAACCTACTTGGGAGAAACAATGTGCTCCTGCATTGGAAATGGCTCCCAGCTTTTCTCCTCGTGTGAGGAAAAGAGATACCTAAGCAGTGTGTCAGTTAGCAGGTGTGAATGTGGGACAGTGTGGGTTGATTCTGAAACCATGGCCACAGCTTTATTGAGTGTATGGTATTCTGTCTGTGGCCACAAGAGTATTTAGGGTTTCCAGCCATGGATGGTCCCCACTTTGGACCACAAAGGCTGCGTGCTGGAGCTTTTTGTGAGGATGGGGGTGCCCTTAAATTTCCCTTGCTTACCTTCAATGAGTTTAGGAATGGTTTTATGATTGGTTAAATAGAAATGAATGAATGAATAATGAACAAATGATGATGATGATGATAATTTGAATGTGGGTGTGATTACCTTTGCATATGGTGGTCCACAAGAGAGATAGATATCAATTGATGTGTTTAAACTTTGCATATTATTTCTTACAATATAAATTACAAGAATGAATACAACTACATTTGATGTTTCAAATGTAAAATTTTGGAATATGGTCATTTTTTTGTCATGCCATAGTGGATGTACAAAAATAACAAATAGTACAATTTTGAAAACTACATTCGAATTTGCCTTAGCTTCAATATTTTTACACAAAATGTTCAGTTTTAATGTTATTAATTTTGATTTACTTTGCTTATTTCCATTATATTTTTTAAATGTTTATTTTATATTTCAATTTACTTATTTTTAGTATATCTATATCACAAAATCACAAAAAACGTCAGATTAATTTTTCCAATCTCGAAATTAAAAGTTTACAAACACTTTCATTTTCATGTACAGAAGGACGATTTCTCTCACATTCACATGCACGCATCTGTAATTTTCTTGGTATATCAATAATTGTTATTCAGTATATGTGAATGAATTATGCCAAAAAGAAAAGAAGTTGAAAGCTGCATCATTATTTCATATTGCATAAGAATTTTTAATGTAATGAATATTTCAGGCATCAAAAGTTGTGCCTAAAATTTAAAATAATTTAGCATTCAATCAAAAACCTACATATGACGAGGAATCAGGTTCAACTTATCCTTTAATTCTGAAAATTAAAACTGTATATTACACATGTATGAACACTGTTAATGCATGCTAGTATTTAAATTTTACATTCGGTATTTTTCAGTCAACTAATCATGGATCTTGGAAAAAAACTAAGATTACAGTGAAATTCAATGCAGGAGCGCAAGGTTGTTTGGGAGGCATACAGGATATTGATTCCTCGCATGGAGGGTATCAACTCCTCGCCTGGAGGGTATCAATCTCATTTACGAAGTAACCAAACAACGATAATGTCCAATTGTTGAGACGAAGCTTGCACTTTATCAAATTCATGCATCGATGGTGTCGATCACCAGGTTTGTGCCATGAATGAGCCCATGGTCTTTGCCGACCTCGGGCTTGTGCAAACTCGTTCTTAGGTTTGAAGCTCTGGTTCGATGGTCTATCACTTTGCTGACTCGAGGTCGAGGTGTTGATGGCCTCAGGGTTGAGAGCGACGCCCGTTGTCGCCCATGGTGATAGTTCATTGTCAGCTGTATGATCCCGTAGGCAGGTGGTGGTGATTGATGTTGCTGTGAAGCGGTTCTGGCTGTGAGCAATCGACGAGGTGTTCACTCCACGATGTGTGAGAAAGCATGCGGGTCGAGTTGAGGTGAGGGAGATGCATGGTGGAGGAGAGGTTGCCGCGTTGTCTAAATCGCTAATGCTGTCTTCCATCGCGCCCACGCGTTCTTCATTGTCGCCATGGTCTACTTCCACTTTTGTGTTGCCAGATATTAAAATGAAATTTTCATCCTTAGCTCAGGACACTGTTGAAAAAAAAGTTATTAAAAGATGTACTTCGACAGCTTTGGGTTTCAGAGTTTGATTTTCGAGAATGATTCTGATTTGTTGAGATCAGAATAGTATCACGGTTTCTGTAACTTCTTGAGATCAGGTTATGTGCGGTTGTGGTATGATCTGACTTGGGAATGTTAGCTTAATAAGATTTTTGAATTCTCACACGGCAAGTGTTGTTGTTCGAAATTGCGAACAAGGTGCTGCTACTTATGGTAACCAGCCAGTGCTTGAATGTGACTTGCCTCAGCAGCATCGCAATTCTCATGGTGATGCGACTCTTGCCACTCAGCCTGGCTATATACAAACTATGTTGGTCTTCGGGATTTATTCACGGCATTGAAATTACTATTTTTGTGTTTCATTTATTTAGAAACTGATAAGCATCCTCCTATCTACATCCAACTTGCTTCAATCTATATATGAAATGTTCACCTCTTTTTTTTCAAGTACTACACTATTTGCTAGTCTTTCTATTTTTCACTAATAAAACCACTTTTATTGCAATTGTAACTATACCACAATATTCAAAATTCAAGCATGTAGAAGAGAAAGACATAGATGGTACTTTCTTAGATCTTATTTTAAAGCATGTTGTTGAGTGATTTCCTATCTAATACCACTACCAATAATTCTTAGCAAAAAATTGATTTTTGAAGTATCTTTAAATAAAGTTGAATGATATATCAGGACTAATAGAACAAGAGAAAACACTAATACATAGCTTGTAAATGGTCTAAGAAGAAAATATATTTCTTAAGCTATACTGCAACTATTAGCATAGGTTCATAGAATTATTAATAGAGTAGGTTGATTGTAAAGAATTATTTGACCTTGTATATTAATCATTTAACTAAAATTTTATTTTAATTAATCCATAAATAAAAATAAATAAAATTTTATATTAAATAATTTTTTATAGAAAAGAAATTTTAAAAAAATTTAATACAAAAAATGGCATAAAGTAAATAAATAAAATTTCATATTCTAATTTAGATTTTTTTTTTTTTTTTTTGAACTTGCCAATTAATTTTGAATAATAGTCAATATTGCCTTTGAAATATTCTTTAAATTTCATTGTCTTAATATTTGATGTAGAATTATAAAATAGATCATCATTGTAGTTATCTATCTATATTTGATAAAAGTTGCTTTAAGAAGGTTATATGTATTGCAATTGGTAGTGTTTTATAATATATTAAGATACGTAGTCCTATATATATATATATATAGCAAGATTTAGTTTCATTATAAAAAAAATTCAACCTTATTATTTGCGTACGTTTCTCTTTTGTGAATAGAACCATTTGCTAAATGTTAATTAACTATAAGAGTTATATACATTATAATAGAAATGCAACTTATTTGCAAATTTGATAAAAGCAAGGAATGTAGAAGACATATGTAAGCATGTAAGAATGTAAAAAAATATTTGAGACTTTGACCATAAAATTCATCATCAAAAATTAAGACTTATTATTTTTAACAAATCTATATAACTTAAAAAATAAAAATTAACATATTAAATAATGATATTATTAGTAAATTAAAAATAAGATAATTTATATATTTTTTAAAGTTTTTTTCAACATTGTTTGTACATATCTTTAAGATTGGTATCTAAAAACTTAATGGCAACTATAATATCTTATTTGGCATGCAAAATGTCCTTCTAGCTTGTTTCTTACATACTAAGATTTGAGATCTTCTTTCTATTAAAGTATTTCGAATTTATTCTTGTAGTTTTGATAAATTGTCTAAATAGACCATAGTATTTTTTTTATCTAATTAAGTAACATCTATAATGTTAGTATATTAAAGGAGAAATAAAAAAATATATAATATGTATATGAATTTTTGTCATATACACCAATTATCACGGACATATTCATGTAAGCTAGTAATTACATATATAAATAGCTGGAAGTAAGTAAAAGTAAGTAAAAGTAAGTTAATTCTATAGTATTTAATATGAAAGCTTCCTAGAAGCTTCATAGACGTTGCTTTGACTTCATAGGTGTCTTTAATTGACTTTTTGGATTAGAAACGTGGTCAACAAGTTGGCCATGTGCCACACATGTTGTTAGCTTGAAGATCAAGCTAACTATGTGGCCCACACATAGAAAAACTTGCCTTGTAAGTCAAAGCATGTGTCCTACAAAGTCAACATATATTGGAGGTCATATAGAACGTCGCCACGTAGCCCCTAGTTAGATAGTATATATAGAGACAAGAGTGAAGTCCTCTTCACTCTTGTCAACTCCTTTCTTGCTTCTAGTCTAGTTTCAAGGGTCTCTAGTTTTCTTGTCTTTTGGCAATAGCCATTCCAGTTTCTTTTTCAATATATATACTTGTTTATTTATATTTTGTTACCTTTCTTTGAGTGAAGGCTCACTTGTCTGAATTTCTTTTTTATCAAATTCTTATCCTTGACAGATTGACAAGAGTACACCTACAATATCAGAGCTTTGTCTAATCTTGATTAAGAGTGGGTTACCCCTTTTTCTTGATAAGATATAAGCATATTAGAAGTTGTGGATTACCCTCTTCTAAACTGATATTGTCCATAGTATTTTTTTTGTTCTCAAGTCCTCTCTTCTATTTGTCTTGGGTGATATTAGACATCTTCTCTTTTCTAAGTGTTATCATGGTAGAACTTATTGAAATGAAGAGTGCAATGGCACAAATGCAAGAATAATTGAGAGAGTTAATGCTTGCGATGCATTACCTCAATTTACCACCACAAGGAGCAACAAGATTGGCAGGAAGTGAAGA